GTGGGGGAGGGAACACAATCCTAAAATAAAAATTGAAATGGTGGAGCCGGGCAGTGGTGGCGCACACCTTTGATCCCAGCACTCGGGAAGCAGGCGGATCTCTGAGTTCGAGGCTGGGCTGGACCGATAGCCTCCAAAACAATACAGAGAAACCCTGTCTCGTAAAAACCAAAAAAAAAAAAAAAAAAAAAAAAAAATTTGAAATGGTGGTATTTTCAGGTATCTCCCCCTCCTTCCATTTCTTTCTTTAAGAAATTTATGTATGTGAGCCGGGCATTGGTGGCGCACGCCTTTAATCCCAGTACTCGGGAGGCAGAAGGCAGAGGCAGGCGGATCTCTGTGAGTTCAAAGCCAGCCTGATCTATAGAGCGAGTTCCAGGACAGCCTCCAAAGCCACAGAGAAACCCTGTCTCGAAAAACCAAAAAAAAAAAAAAAAAAAAAAAAAAAAATTTATGTATGTGAATGTATTGCTTGCATGTATGTTCCTGTACATGTGCATGTGTGATGCCTAAAGGTCAGAAGAGACATTGGATCCCCAGCAACTGGAGTTAGAGATGTTTGTGAGGCATTGTGTGGGTGCTGGGACTTTAACCTAGGTCCTCTGCAAGAGCAACAAGTATACTTAACCATTGAGCCATTTCTCTAGGCCCTATTTGTTTTTTAAGATGAGATTGGACGTGTTCAGGGTGGTATGGCCATAAACTATTTCTTTGATTTTTAAAGGCATGATCTCAAGGCTGCCTCTCTCTGTGTAGCTAAGGATGACCTTGAATTCCTGATCTTCTTGCCTCTACCTCCCAAGTGCTGATATTACAGCCACTTTCCTGGTTTCTTATAGAATTCCAGTAACATTTTACTACAAAATCAGATTTGACCCCTGAAAGCATGAAAACTACATAAAACTGGCTTAGTCTCAAAATAGGCTGATACCTCTGGACATTTTCAAAATTAAACTTATGTTCTGATAAAACTAAGCATCTGGATGTTCTTTTTTTGTTGTTTTGTTTTGTTCCCATCCCCACCCCTCAGAAGGGTTTTTCTGTGTAGCTTTGGAGCCTGTCCTGGAACTCACTCTGTAGACCAGGCTGGCTTTGAACTCAGACATCCTTGCCTGCCTCTGCCTCCCCAGCGCTGGGATTAAAGGCATTTGCCACCACTGCCCAGCTGCTTCTGTCTTTGGCTCTCCAAGATCTAAAATGCACAGAACTACTCAAAATCCCTTTAAAGCATCTAGTCTTTTCAGTGTCCCCATACTCAAGCCCCTCTGCATAGCTGATCTGGTAAACTCATGTCTTGTGAGCATGTAGCTGAAGGAAGAGAGAGGAATTACTCGCAAAGTTTGCTGCCAAGTTCTTGCAGAGCCTGTTCTTGTTCGTGATATATTTTTTTCAACTGCTGATTTTCATCCTGGAGGTTAAGAAACTCCTTCAATAAAAAACAGAAATATAATTAAAAAAAAACACCACATTGCATATATATCATTAATTAGCAAAGTATAAATATCTTTGAACTTTGTTCTTGGGAGGTTGAGACATGACCTTGTTCTGATCCTGCTTCCATTTCCCAAGTGTTGGGATTACAGGAGTAATTCTGTCAAGCTTTGTATCCCCCACCCCAATTATTCTCTTTTTAAAAAAAATATGTGAATGTTTTGCCTGCATGTATGTATGTGTACCATGGGCATGACTGATACCCAGAGGTCAAAAGAGGACACTGGATGCCCTGTAACCAGAGTTTAGAGATGGTTGTGAGTTACCATGTGAATGCTGAGATTGTAGCTCTATCTGGCCTAGGATTCATTATGAAGCTAGGCTAAGCCTCAACCCCCTGATCCTCCTGCCTCAGCCTACTTAGTGATGGAATTAACAGGTGTACACCACACCCAACTTACATATCTTAAGCTTTTCCCAGCTGTTCTTTGTATCAACTATTACCCACACAACCTCCTTCCTCATATTCCTAAAATGACTAAGTATATCCTCACATATATGTAAACTGTGTAAGGTATTTTGTTTTAAAAGATGTGTGTTTGTATGCAGGCACGTGTGGAGGTTAGAAGACAGCCCTGGTTTTGGAGACAGGGTCCTTCATTGACCTGGAGCTCATGAGTTAGGCTAGCCAAACTGGCCAGCCAGTGAGTCAGTCCCAGGGATGCCTGGCAGAGCTGAGAGTACAGATTCTGAAAGCTTTTTACTGCCAGCCATCCCTTTCCCCCAAAATCATGTGCATAAACTAACAAGCTGGGAACAGTGACCTTAATACCAGCCCTCCAGTGGGTGAGACAGAATGGCCATGAGTTCAAGGCCACTTTTGCTATATAACAGTTCAGAGAAAGTCTGGGCTATAGTATGAAACTACATCTCCAACAACAGAGTTAACATTTGTCAAGATATAAAATTTAAAAGTTTTACCACTATTTACTTTTTTAAGACTAATGATTTGTTGGGTCTCATTTCTAAGATGAGACAGGACATCTTTCTCCTTCTGAAGGTCTTCTTGCAAAGTCTGCCTCCATTCCTTCTCAATCTTCAAATCTGTTTCCAGCTGTACCCTTGAATGGCAAACAGAAAGCAGCCCAGCATTCAGTTGGTCAGTTCTCAGATAGGGGCTCATGTAGCCAAATCTAGCCTTTAAATCTTAATGCTCCTACCTCTACTGCGTAAGCGCCAGGGTTACAAGTACCATACCTGGCTCTTATTTTAACTGACTTATTTTTTAATTCCAGGTGTTTGTGAGCCACCAGTATGAGTGCTGACGGACCTCTGAAGAGGAGCACATGATCCTAGCCACTGAGCCATCTCTCCAGTCCACAGGGTCTCGCTTATCCCAGGCTAGCCACAAAATTGCTATGTAGCCAAAAATGACCTTTAATTTCTGGTCCTTCTGTCTTCACCTATATAACCAATGTGGGCTGTGTAGCAAGACCCTATTTCAAAAGTTTCCAGATAGTCTGTCAGATACGATCCTATTTTAAAAATAAAGTTAGGGAGCTCAAGAGATGGTTCAGCAGTTAAAAGCACTGCTGCTCTCCCAGAAGACCCGGGTTCAACTCCCAGTACCCACATGGCAGCCCACTACTGTCTATAACTCCCAAGATCTGACACCCTCACTCAGACATGTAGGCAAAACACCAATGCACAAAAAAATAAAATTATTAAAAATAAAATTAGGCCAGGCATGGTGGCACACACCTTTCATTCTAGCACTTGGGAGGCAGAGACCCTATCTCAGTGGGTAAAGCCTGCTGCCAAACCTGACAAGCTGAATTTGATCCCATAGGCCTACATGGTGAGAAGAAAACACTCCCACAAGTTAGCCTTTGACTTCTACATATTTAACTCTGGTACATGCATGCTAACAGACTATATAAGTAGATATAATTTTAAATTTTATAATAAAATTAAAACCATATATTGCCCGTGTACTTATATGTAAAAGAAGTCTTGTTTTGTCCTTATCTTGTGATGCTGAGGATCGAGGACTTCATGCAAACTAATTCTACTAATTCTACCAAACATATTCTACCAAGGAGTTATACTGAAGCCCAGACAGTTTAAGGTTCAACAGTTACATCACAACAGTTTAAAGCCACTGTGAGCGGTTTCAGTCCTTACTCTACAAGCATCACTCGTGTTCCTCTCCAGGATCCATGCACTATTTTTGTTATTAAAAGAAAGTGGACAGCCGGGCGTTGGTGGTGCACACCTTTAATCCCAGCACTAGGGAGGCAGAGGCAAGCGGATCTCTGTGAGTTAAACACTAGCCTGGTCTATAAGAGCTAGTTCCAGGACAGCCTCCAAAGCCACAGATAAACCCTGCCTCCAAAAAAACAAAATAAATAAATAAAAGAAAGTGGACTTGAGAGATGGCTCAACAGTTAAGAGACACAAACAGTGTAATTTAAAATTGAAGTCTTAGACAAGAGGACCTGAGGATGCAGCTCAGTGGATGGAGCGCTTGTGCAGCATAAACAAACCCTGGGTTTTGATCACCAGCATCACTTAAGCCAGGTATGGCTCACTTACCTAAAATCCCATTATTGAGAGGTAGAAGCAGGATCGATAGAGGGTCAAAGTCACCCTTGCTTATGGAGGGAATTATGTAGGCCAGCCAGGGATACATGAGACATCATCTCCAAAAGTAAGTAGACAAAATAATAGGAGTAACAATTATATTGTCAGTATGTGTATCTGTGGTTTTGGAGCTTGAACCTAGCACCTCAATAAGGCTAGCAAAGTACTCTCCCACTGAACGGCATCCCTATCCCAAGCGTTTTCTTTTTCTAAAAATTTTATTTAGCTGGGCGGTGGTGGCGCATGCCTTTAATCCCAGCACTTGGGAGGCAGAGGCAGGCGGATCTCTGTGAGTTTGAGGCCAGCCTGGTCTACAAGAGCTAGTTCCAAGACAGCCTCCAAAGCCACAGAGAAACCCTGTCTCGAAAAACCAAAAATAAAATAAATAAATAAAAATTTTACTTATGTAGTGTGAGGAACTGGGATATGTGCAGGACTACCAGGAGGGTCGTGGAGACTGAACTTGGTAACTGCCTTCACCTACTGAGCCATCACAGATGTCCCCACACACCTTCTTTGAGGGCCATACTGGCTGGCAGAGACCATGTTAGTACAAAGAATTTGGTTCCAAGACCAAACACTCACAGCTGCTGCTCCTTCTGCGAGATCTGTCTCTGCAGACTGTCGGATTTGCTCAGACACTCTTGGGCATATTTCTCATCCTCGTCTTCTGCTTCCATTTGTGCCTTCTCTGCTTGCTGCAATCTGGTGTAATTCAAATCAACTTTGGGTAAAACTGAGGCTAGAACTAGGGTGTAAAAGGGTGAAGAAGACAAATAAAAGAAAAATGGGGAAATAGAAACATTTCTAAATGAAAACAAAGTCTGGGGGAAAACTCACAAACTCAAACGTGAAAGAGCCACACAATGTCTAGAAACTGTTTTGTAATTTTTTTTTCAATACAAGATATAATATGCCCAGAAAACTATCTTGAAATTTGTTTTATTTCTTGTTCATAATTAATGCAAGGCATACAGTTTTTACCAATGGAGGATAATGATTCAAATCTCAAATATGGCTAGATATGTTATTGCCTTTTCACAAAGCCAGAGTAGCACTCGGGGTCTGTAATAAGTGCTGAATGCTCCTGTCTATGTGATACGAAGATGTGTGTGCTGGGAACCAAGCGCGCTACAGGGCTAAGAGCAAAGAGCAACAGTTATCCTCACTAACAGAGTCTTCCTAACAGAGCTCCACACAAAGCTGTATATGTACGTGTGTATGTATAGACACTAAGATTCAAGAGTCAATGCTTGTTGGCATCATCCCCTATCGATAACTTTTTAAAGATTTTTATTGTACATTTATGAATGTTTTGCTTGCATATATGTCTGTGCACAGCATACATGCCTGGGGTGGACTGAGGTCAGAAGAATGTCAGGTCCCCTGGAACTGGAGCTATAAACAGTTGTGAGCCACACTGCGTAGGTGTTGGGAATTGAACCCAGGTCCTCTGTAAGAACATGTGCTCTTAACTGCTGCCACAGCTCTCCAGCCCCCTAACTTTTATTCTTTACCTTGAATAGTAAAGATTAGCTTAAAATGGTCACATTTTCCTGTTTCCATTTGTTAAGTCACTGTTTCTCTCCAGGCTTAGCTCCACTCCTTGCCTCCCTTGGCCATCAAGATTTCTGAGGTTTATAAGAAAATATTTCCCAGGATTCAATGGACATTAACTTTTCACAAGAAGTCACAAGAGAAATCTTGTGTCTTTTTATCTGCCTCAAAAACACCCTAAGTAAGGCAACACACATAGTGAGTAAAAAGTTTCCAAGGAAAGGAGGAAGTTACCTCTAGGTTTACATCGGAATTAAAGGGTTAAGGCGGTAGGGGTGGACTCAGCTTTCTTCTCTACAGTTACAGGAAGTAAAGTAAGTGAGGTAGGCCTTGCAGTTGTGCTATCACAATGGGTGGGGGGGACTAGAAAACTGAGATGCTGAAGCCCAGGGCAACGGCCAACCTGTTTTGGAAACTATTTTGAAAACTTAACTTTAAAGATCAGTTAGGAGCCATTAGACAGAGTGTGCAAATGGGGCAGGGTGTGTGTGTGTGTGTGTGTGTGTGTGTGTGTGTGTGTGTGTGTGTGTGTATCTGTGCCAACACAGCCTGAAACCAAAGGTTTCTAGTTTCCATCAAAAGGTAACTAAAAAAGATAAAACCATTTGGAAATCTTGCCCTCCAAGCAGTTGAGGCTCAAGTGCACAAGGCTGAGGAGTGCACCTGCTGCGTCTCACAGCAGCCATGAAGGCTCCTACAGCCCTGGACATGAGACAGCATCAATTCTCTTCCATTTAACATCTGGTAAAAGGGTGCGCTCTGCGCCTTGAGTGAGTTTCAGAAGGAGATGTCTTTGACCAGCTTGTATTGGTCCTGGGGGTCACTGCCAGCACTTTTCACCAATGACACTGCAATTGTCCTAGTCTGAGTTAACAAATCATTGTCACTTCATAATGGAATGGACAGAAATCAAAGACAAGAAACAGTAATAAAGATGTCCAAAATGTAAAAGTGGGGATAAAGAAAACAACAAAAAGAAAGAAGAAAAAAGAAGAAAGAGGATGTCAATAAAAGAATATTTGTGTCAGTAAAGCATCAATAGTTATGTTTTTCCTAAGTAGATTCAAAGAAAGCAATGGTGAGACATGTTGACTCAACATGACAGGGCAATGGATACATTACATTTTTACATTAAAATGAAATGCCAGGATAAAAGAACTCCATTGACATAAAATCCTGTCCTGGGTTAGGCTGAGGGTCCTAGCTCAGAAAGCTACACTGTCAACTCCTGCTGTATTCAGATAGGAGATGGCCAATGGTGAAGAATGGGACAGTCCCACCAGAGCCTGCCCGTTTCTGTTTTCCAGGTCTTTGTGTTTAGTTTTATGTCACAGATATTGTGCCTTTAAAGTATCTCTAAGAGAGCAACTTCATACGAATCGTCACCCTAATAAAGCAACTTCATTCCATGCAGCAACCAAAAGGGGGCAAAATCTGGCTCAGCTTAGATAAGACACAGGCCCTAGGTGTAGCGTCAGAGGTGAAGAAAGGAAGGGGGAGGGGAACTCATGTGAGTGTCATACCTTTGCTCCAGCTGCCTCATGGCTGTAGTGATTTTATTGGTCTTTTCTTCTAGTCGGGCAATTATTTCATTTTTTTCTTTCAAGCTGTCTTCAGAGCCCTATTTATAAAAACACAACTATGGTGGCTTTGATTTTGAAACTCAAACATTAGGCCAAGTGTAGTGGTATATGCCTGGAAATCCTAGCACTCAGGAGGTAGGCAGGATTATGGGTTCAATACTAGCCTCACTACACAGGGACACTGAGGCTAGCCTGAGCAGCCAGTCCTTTCCAAAATAAGCAAGTAGGAAGAGAAAGATACAGGATGCACCAGAGAAGGGCTCAGTGAGAAGATACACTGGCCAGCGGAGCTCCACCTCTGGAGTCCACTTGGAGGAGAGCCTACTCCCATATATGCCCCAAGGCACACACATATACAATAATCAATATTCTTCATACAAAAATACAATACAAATACAAAAAATACAAAAAAAAACCCAACTTGATCATATTTTCATGTTACTGAAAAATAACAGGTTGGGCATTGTGGCGAACACCCTTAATCCCAACAGGAGGCAGAGGCAGGCAGATCTCTGTGAATTCAAGGCCAGCCAGCCAGAGCTACCTAGAGGACCCTTGTCTCAAAACAAAACATTTGAGAGGAGTGGGCTGTGGTGGCACACTCCTTTAATCCCAGCATTTGGGAAGCAGGCGGATCTCTGTGACTTTGAGGCCAGCCTGATCTATAGAGCGAGTTCCAAGCCAGCCAGGGCTACACAGAGAAACCCTGCCTCGGAGAAAGAAAAGCATGAAATCAGGATGGAGGTGGAGGTGGCTCGGTGGTACCCGCATTTGTCCAGCACACAGGAAGCCCGGGGCTGGGTTCCCGGCAACGCCATGAACGGAAGACCACTCTGTACCTGCAGCTTTTGGTACATCTCAATGTTGATTGCTTTGACTTCTTCCAGCTGTTGCCGAAGGCCTATGAGAGTGTCTTGTTTCTCGTGAATATCTTTCTCCAACAACTTCATAGCAAGCTCAATCTCATGCTTCATGCCAACTTGAACTGACAGCTCATTCTCCACATCCTGCAATGTCACAATGTCTTCGTGAACGGGGTATTTCAGGTTATCAAAATCAGATGTGCAACCGTCATCAAGACGGGGGACAACATCCCACTCATCTGCTCCTCTTAAGACTGTCATTGAACAACCAACCTGCCTGCTGGGGTGGTTCATGGGTAGTCCCAGCACTGAAGAGGATGAGACAGGAGGATTGCTTTGAGTTCAAACCCAGCCTGGGCTACACAGTGAGATTCTATTTAAAAAAAAAAAAGGTCTGAATATGCTGGCGCACACCTTTGATCACAGCACTCCACAGGAGGAGGCAGAGGCCAGGCTGGTCTACACAAAGTTTCAGGCAAGCCAGAGCTACATTAGTGAGATCTTGTCTGTCCTAGTTTGCTTTCTGTTGCTGTGATAAAACACTAAGCAAAAGCAACTTGGGAGGAAAAAGGTTCATTTGGCTTACAGGTTACAGTCCATCACAAGTGAAGCCAGGAACATGGAGGCAGAGACCACAGAGGAATGGTCCTCAATTTATGGGCCCTGACCCCCAACAGACCATTGGAAAACAGATATTTACATTATGGTTCATAACAGCAACAAATTACTGCGTTTTTTTGTTTTTGTTTTTGTTTTGTTTTTCAACAGAGTTTTTCTGTATTGTTTTGGAGGCTGTCCTGGAACTCACAGAGATCCGTCTGCCTCTGCCTCCCGAGTGCTGGGATTAAAGGCGTGCACCACCAACGCAGCATTAGCAAGATTGAAAACTACTGCCATGGAGGAATGCTGCTTACTGGCTTGCTCCCCACTGCTTGCTTAGGCTGCTTTCTTATTTACACAGCCCAGGGCCACCCTCCTGGAATGGCACTGCCTCACACATCAATCATTGATGAAGAAAATGACCCACAGACTTGTTTGCATGCCAATCAGATGGAGGTATTTTCTCAACTGAGGTTCTCTTCCCAGGTGACTCTAGTACGTTTGCTAATGTTAAAGACTGGGAGAGTGCACTGAAAGACAGGCCATATCCTCTTCTTGGCCTGGGAATTAAGCTACAAAACTGTGTGCATTTTGGAGTATACTCCACTGTCTGAAAGCTAAAATTTTAAATACGATGCTGCTAATGTATACACATTTCATTATGTCCTTTTAGGTATTGTTTCTGTGATGGTGGTCTGCATTCATCACTACAACCACAGGTTGGAAGGTTTTGAAAAGACTGAGATGTGTTTCTCAAGCTTAAAAAAAAAAGAGAGAGAACATTGGGTCTGCAACATGGCTCCCTGGGCTTTATGACACAGCCTAGAATCACAGGTGTGTGCACATATGGGGGGAGTCTTGATAACTGATGTGGGAGGTCCCACCCCACTGGGGGTGGCGTACTTCCTGGGCTATATAAGACAAGTTGAGTTTGAGTGACAAGCAAGCTTCAGGCTCCTGACTTCTCCCAGTGAAGGACTGCGACCAACCCTTTCCTCCCTGTGTGGATTTGAGTGCTTTACCACAGCAACGGAAAGACTAGAACAGTGGGAAAAGGTGTGTCACCAGGCCTAACCCTGAGTTCAGTCTCTATGGTATTGGGAGGAGGAGAACTCTAACCTCCACACGTGTGCCGTGACCTGTGTGCACGCATGCGAAATCAATCCAGAAACAGACCAAGAGTCGGTGTATTAAGGGTGCCAGGCTCTGCTCCATGTCCAAGAGGCTAAGGCTGAAACACAGAACGGCGCTGCTTGAAAGTAAGTTATCCCCAGGATTTCGCTAATGGAACTGCAAGGTCAACTACCTGTCGCAGTTGAGACTCGTCGCGAAGCTGCCTTCTGGCATCATTATACATTTCGTCTAGACCTTGCCGGGAATGCTTGTATGTTTGGAGCTCAGTTTCCACATCCACCTTGGTAACCTAGGAAGAAGAGGTCGAGCCATCACACCATGCTCTGCCACCACACACACCTGGCCTACAGGACTCAGGACCCCAGCGGGCTCTGCAGTCGCTACTCACCTCCAGGTGCTGCCGGGTTCTCATTAAGATCAACTCGTTTTCACTGCGTAACTGATGGTTCTCTTCTTGGAGCTTAATGATATTATTCTTTGCTATTGCTAACTGCAAATTGTGAAACAGAAACAAAAAGCCATTCTGAGCATCTTTCTGTAGACTTGCTATACGGGTTAGGTCTGTGGCTACAAACCAGAGGAGACAAAACCCTGAAACCAGTAAGGCAGAGTGTTCCACTTTACAAAGGCTCCATCACAAGCATGTGCTGTGGGCTGGAGGGTCGGCCCAGGGGGTCAAGAGCTCTTCCCACTCTTCCAGGTAGAGGACCCAAGTCCAGGTCCCAGCACCATAAGGCAGCTCACAACCCCCTGTAACTCCAGTTTCAGGGGATCTGGTGCCCTCTTCTGGCCTCCATGGGTACCAGACATACATGTAGGCAAAACAACCACACACACATGCTTTTTTTTTTTTTTTTTTTGGTTTTTCGAGACAGAGTTTCTCTATAGCTTTGGAGGCTGTCCTGGAACTGGCTCTATAGACCAGGCTGGCCTCTATGTATGCCTACATTCCAGAAGAAAGCACCAGTTCTCATTATAGATGGTTGTGAGCCACCATGTGGTTGCTGGGAATTGAACTCAGGTCCTTTGAAAGAGCAACCAGTGCTCTTAACCTCTGAGCCAACTCTCCAGCCCTAGTTTTTTTTTCTTTTTTTTTAAATTTAACTTTATTTTATATGTTGGTGTGAAGGTATCAGATCCCCTGAAACTGGAGTTACGGACAATTGTGAGCTGCCATGTGGGTGCTGGGAATTTAACTCAGGTCCTCTGGAAGGACAGCCAGTTCTCTTAACTGCTGAGCCATCTCTCCAGCCCCTTATTTAGTTTTGTAAAGGATGAACTGGCTTTTCTGCAAAGGGGCACCCAATGGCCACATCTGCAGTATAGAAGTCATGGCTGGGAGGTTGTACACAGAAGTGGAGAACATGTGATGGCTATGATTGCAATGCTGCTCGTGACTGCACACAGGTGGTCCCCACTGTAACGGGAATCACACGTCATGCTGCTCGTGACCGCACATAGGACAGGAATCACACGTCATGAATTTAGGAATCGGTGTGACTTGTCTCTGTGTCTGAATTCTAGTTACTGACTATAACAAATAACAGTACCCCAGAGTCATGCAATTAGGAACTCAAGGTCTATGTGGGTTCTCTAGAACTTGCAGCCTTCGACTGCAAATGTCTCACCACGATGATAAAAGAGTGTGTGTGTGAGAGAGAGAGAGAAAATGTGTGTGAGAGAGCGTGTGTGAGAATATGTGTGTGAGAGAGTGTGTGTGTATGAGAGAGAGTGTGTGTGTGTGTGAGAGAGAGAGAGAGAAATGTCCCACCATGATGAAAGTGTGTGGGGGTGAGGGTGTGAGAGAGAGAATGTGTGAGAGAGTGTGTGTGTATGAGAGTGTATGTGTGTGTGTGAGACAGAGAATGTGTGTATGTGTGTGAGAATGTGTGTGTGTGAATGAGAGTGTGTGTGTGTGAGAGAGAGAGAGAGTGTGTGTGTGTGTGTGTGTGCGCGCGCGCGTGCGCGTGCTCATGCTGGGTGGTGGTTGCTGACAGCATTCTCACTTAAAACAGAAAAGAACCACAAACAGCAGGGTAAGCTAAGATAATCATATCATCTGTGGTTGGGGACAGTACCTCTTCGATCAGCTTAGTGTTTGACTTTTCTAGCGAGTCAACTCTTGAATGGAGGCTGCTGACTGTGCTGCTGCAATTGGGGAAAAAAAACTCATTGAGAATTACACAAGCTCACACAAAGACAATGTGGCTGTCCCAGACTTGTGTTTATTGACATGTACCAATGACCCAGAATAAATTACTAGACGGGGACAATTTCATTAACCTGCCTCACTTGGTCTGAGCTAAGACAGCAGTAATGACCACAGCAGAAGAATCAACATCTCCAATAAAGTCCTTGTGGTGCCTGTCAGATGCCAGCATTTACAGACAGTCCAGGGCCCTGTGCAGGTGCGGCAAAGGCTCCACTGTCAGTGGCCTTTGGGCTGTTTGTTTAGGTTGTGATGTCAGGATTTTTGTTATTGTGTTGCTTTTTTTTTTTTTTTTTTTTTTTTTGGTTTTTCAAGACAGGGTTTCTCTGTGGCTTTGGAGGCTGTCCTGGAACTCCCTCTGTAGACCAGGCTGGCCTCGAACTCACAGAGATCCGCCTGCCTCTGCCTCCCGAGTGCTGGGATTAAAGGCGTGTGCCACCAACGCCCGGCTGTTGCTTTATTTTTTAAGACACAGTCTTGTTTAGCCCAGGCTGGCCTCAAACTGACTTACTAGGGGAACCCTGAACTCATGAAGGCTGGGGTTATTGCAGCTCACTGTGTGCTATTAATTTCTGTCATGCATCTAACCAGCCCCTCGAGATCTCTCAAAAAACGCCTAGGAGGCAAACATGCAATGATACTATGTAGAAAGGCATAAGGATTAAGCTGAAAACAAAGTTGCCCCTAAAATGAGGCTCTCTAATATAGTTAGGTACTCAAATACTTACTTGAGTTGTCTATTTAGCTCTTCAACGTAATTCTTTTGGTCTAAGATGGCAGCAATTTGAACATTCCTGTGGTGGGAGGAAAGGATAGCTTAAAACATATCTAAATCATCTGGAAATGGTTGTGAGAACTCACAGCAATAAAATACAGCATGGTCTACAGAGCGAGTTCCAGGACAGGCTCCAAAACAATACAGAGACACCCTGTCTTGAAAAAACCAAAAAGCAAACAAACAAAAAAACCCCTAAAACTGGGAAATGAGGAAAATATACCTTTCTTTGTTTCCTATCTCTTCTTCATTCTTTAAATACATTGAGAAATCAATCACTCCAACCTGAAATTAATAAACAGATTTTTATTTAAAGAGAAGAAATCCTCCTCAGCAGGGACGGCAGTCTTGTCAATTTTCACTGGCCTGAGAGACTACTAACTGGTCAGGGAAGTGCACTGTGGGCGTGTCTAGGAGAGCCCTTCCAGTGATGCTGACATCCCGATAGCTGACCAAAAGCACTGGTTTCTCCCCTGTTCAAATTTCAAACCTGAAGGCTAGAGGGAGACTTCCAACTGTGCCAGGAGGAGCCTGGCTGGAGGAAGCCACTGCAAGCCTCAGACCCCACTATGTAGATGGTCATGAGCCTCTGGAAGAGCAGCCAGTGCTCTTAACCTCCAAGTCGTCTCTCCAGCCCACTTAAGCTGTTTCCATCAGGTGTTTGTCTCACACAACATGCACCTGAATTTTGAACAGTGTTTAACAGTGCTGTGTACAACTTAGAGCTGCTGGGATCCCGGGAGAGCTGTGTAGTGAGAGTACTCATCTGTGTGGCCTGCGTGCACTCACCTGGGAGTCCAGGTCCTCTCCCTTCACACACAGATTGGCATCGATCACATTCAGGCCCACCAGCAGCCCGACGATCACGGCTCCCTCCTCCTCCATCATTAGCGCGTGGTGCTCATAGAACTCGCTGGAAACACGGAGCAGAGCGAGTCATCACAAACCCAACGCTGAACGGAACACCTCACCGCCCCCACCCTGTAGACATGGAAATAACCTAAGCTCCTCCAAAGCACATTCTGAGCTGCTAACTACATGTAAAAAGGCTCGATGTCTCCATAAAACATTAAAAGGACTGAAGGAGGTAGAAGAGAAAGACATTGTGAGGGAAAAGGAAAGACAAAGCAGAAGAAAAAGGGGGCAATGCTAGGCATGAAAGCTTAAGCCTGGAACCCCCAGTCCTCAGGAGGCTGAGACAGGCCTGCTGAGTTCAAGGCCAGCCTGGGTAGAAAGTTAAACCACGGCCTTTTAAAAACTTATCTTATTATTTTCTGTGTGTGAGTGTCTTGCCCGCATGCATCTACGTGTGCACATGCATACCGTGCTCACGAGGCTGTACAAAGACATCAGAGCCCCTGAAACTGGACTCGCAGACAGTGTGCGCTGCCCTTGTGGGTGTTGGAACCTGAACCCAGGTGTTCTAGAAGAGTAAGCCAGTGCTTTTAACTGCTGAGCCATCCCTCCAGCTTGTGGGCCACTATCTCAGAGAATCAGGAGAGGAAGGGGCAACCCTGAGGCCTGGGATGCTGATTCTCAGGACTCAGTAATTGCCGCTAATATGATTATGATGCTTGTAATTAGAGCTGAAATTTCAGTTTTCATTAAGACCTTTGGAATAGCTGGCTGTAGCAGCGCACACCTTTAATCCCTGCACTTGGTAGGCAGAGGCAGGCAGATCTCTATGAGTTAGAGGACAGTCTCTTCTAAATAGCAAATTCGAAGCCAGCCAGGGCTACATAGTGATACCCTGTCCTAAACAAACAATAAACAGATTTATTTTATGTGTTAAAGCATTTTACATGTATGTATGTGTGTGTGTGTGTATGTGTGTGTGTGTGTGTGTGTGTGTGTATGTGTGTGCCTGGTGCCCTCAAAGGCCAGAAGAGAGCATTGGATCCCCCAGAATTAGGATAGTTGTGAGCTGCTACATGTATACTGGAAACAGAACCCTGGTTCTCTGTAAGAGCAACAAGCGCTGTTAACCACTTAGCCATTTCTCTAGCCCTCTAAGTATTAATCATCAACTAAGGGCACGTGGATAACTACAGTACCCAGGCTCGGTGTGCACACCTGCAATCCCAGTACTTGAGAAGGGAGGCAGGAGGATCAAGAACTCAGGGTCAGCCTTGGTTACACAGCAAGTTCAAGATCAGTCTGTGCTATATGAGACCAGAGAGAGAGAGAGAGAGAGAGACAGACAGACACACACACACACACATACACACACACACACACACACACAGGGAAGTGCAAAGAGTAGTCTAAAAATGAAGTTACCAGTTTTTATAGTCAGGAAAAGCTCTAGTGACATCAAGTCAACACGTGTATCACTTGCAGCTTTAATTGGTCCTGAGAATACTGCTGAGAAATTCCAGAGTTTCAACTATGGCCATCGCCATTTAACAAACAGAAAAACTGAGACATGAAGCCAGAGTCACAAATAAAACTGAACGCAGCATGGTATGCCCCAAATACCAGAGAGGCAGGCCACAGGAACCATGACAAGAGTCACCTGGGCCCACTCCCTTTTAAGACTGCCTGCCCTGCTCTTGAAGCTGTCTTCGACATCTGATCTCCAATTAAGCAGTGTTCAGGATACAGCGGAGGCACTCATTTGCACATTAAAGATCATACGAAGAAATGTGCAATGCTACCCTAGGACAAACATGCCTGGCTTTCTCATTTTGCTCTTCTTTTATTTTATGATACTTCATAGATCTTTCTTCACTTCTTTTTGGATGACAAGATATAAATGAAATAAAAAGCAAACATGACCTTAAGATACTAACCTCAGGAGCTCCCTCTGGATAATTAAGCAACGCAGGTAATCGGCCATTTTTTTTTGCATGAGGGCTAATCGGAGCCACGCCCTCGCACGCCCCAGGGGGGTCCTAGAAAGAAGCAGCAAGGGTTAGAAAACAGCCTTAGCGCTAAAATCAAGGCCACGCACATGCTCTGTATCTGCGAAGGACACACTGACAAAGAAAAAGGCATTCATCCCACTTCTGTTTTTATCTTTAGAACTGGATGCTGATGTGTGTGGGTGTGCAAAGTGTCATGCTTGCTCACGTGCCAGTACACACCCATGCACACGAACACTCATGCACACACACACACACACACACACAAATAACAAAATTTTAAAAATGGCAAAGCCAGGCATGTCCAGAGGCAGAGGCAGAGGCAGGCAGAACTCTGTGAGTTCGAGTCAATGTGGTCCACATAGGGAGTCCCAAGACAGCCAGAGCTATACATTGAAACTCTGTTTCAAAATAACAAGCCAGGTGGTGATCGGGCACACCTTTAATCCTAGCATGGCCAGGGTAGAGGGGGGTTGTGCAGACCAGGGGTTGCACAGAGAAAACCTGCCACAAAAAAAAAACAAAAAACAAAAAAAACAAAACAATACAAAAAAAAAAAAAAAAAAAACAGCCAGTAGGCAGAGGCTCATCTCTGTGAGTTCGAGGCCAGCCTGGTCTACAGAGCAAGTGCCAGGATAAGCCTATATCCAAAGCTACACAGAGAAACCTTGTCTCAAAAAAAACAACCCCCCACCCCTCCCCCCAAAAAACCCAGCCAGGTGGTGGTGTCGTGCACCTTTAATCTCAGCAGCACTCAGGAGGCAAAGGCAGGTGGATTTGGAAGCCAGCCTGGTCTACAGAGTGAGTTCCAGGACAAAGAAACCCTGTCTCAAAAACAAAACAACAACAAACAAACAAAACCCAAAACAAAACAAAATTTTTTACTTGAAAAAAGTTTTAAACATTTATGATTTCTGAGCTAGAATGCACCAGCTCTCTCTGGTTCTCTCTCTCTGGTTCTCTCTCTCTGGTTCTCTCTCTCTGGTTCTCTCTCTCTGGTTCTCTCTCTCTCTCTCTCTCTGGTTCTCTCTCTCTGGTTCTCTCTCTCTGGTTCTCTCTCTCTCTCTCTCTCTGGTTCTCTCTCTCTGGTTCTCTCTCTCTCTCTCTCTGGTTCTCTCTCTCTCTCTCTCTGGTTCTCTCTCTCTCTCTCTCTCTCTCTCTCTCTCTCTGGTTCTCTCTCTCTCTCTCTCTCTGGTTCTCTCTCTCTCTCTCTGGTTCTCTCTCTCTGGTTCTCTCTCTCTGGTTCTCTCTCTCTCTCTCTGGTTCTCTCTCTCTGGTTCTCTCTCTCTCTCTCTCTGGTTCTCTCTCTCTGGTTCTCTCTCTCTGGTTCTCTCTCTCTCTCTCTCTCTCTCTGGTTCTCTCTCTCTCTGGTTCTCTCTCTCTCTCTCTGGTTCTCTCTCTCTCTCTCTGGTTCTCTCTCTCTCTCTCTCTCTCTCTCTCTCTCTATGTAGACCAGGCTGGCCCTGAACATACAGAGATCTGCCCGCCTCTGCCTCCCCACTGGTCTTCTCAGTGGCTAATTCTTAATTCTCCATGAAGGGACTTAGGAAAACCTAATGAAGGAAACAGTATGTGCTGAGTTATAGAATGAGCAGGGCTTTGGGAGGAGAAAATGGAAGCAGTGCTCAGACTGGAATGAGCAGCCGTACTTACTTAAGGCCAGGCAGATCCCGGACGCTTGCTCCGATTTCCTCTGCTTCGGGGTACAGCTTCTCCACCAGTTCCAGTGGGCCCCAAATAGTTTTGTTATAACTCAAAAATGATTTTCTCACTGAAAAGCATATAAAGTACAATTTCAACTCATGAAGCAGGGGTAACAACATCTTCAGTGTTTAGTCACAGCTCAGGGTAGACAGTCCAGTGGTTCACCGTGTCTGCTCTTCAGGCATGATGACCTGAGAAACTCCCAGCTCCCACATGACAAGCTGGGCATAGCTGTGTGCGTGTGCCTATAAACCCATCGTTGGAGGGTGGAGATGGGCAGCCCCGATGGCTTGCTGGCCAGCCTGCCAAACTATGACTTTCCGGTTCAGTAGGGCAGAGAGCAAGAGTGACAGAAAGACACTGTCCTGCTCTGGGCTCTGTATATCCACATATGGTGTGTTGGTGCGTGAGTGCGCACGCGCGCACACACACACACACAAACACACACACACACACACCTATAATCTTAGCTCTGTGAGAGGCTGAGACAGGAGGATCAGAAGTTCAAGAGCTGCCTGGGTAACTTAGTGCCATCCTGGAGACATGCCCCAGCAGTAGACATTTGCCTAGCATGCCCAAGGTCGGAGGGTTAATCCCTAGCAGCATCAGAAAGAAGTTAACACATGTGCACATATGAACATACATCTGGGCTGTTCTTTCCCATCAGAAACATCCAGGCAAGCAACTAAATGATGGCCTGAGTCTTGCGTAAGTCTACGAAACAAATCGAGCGTAAAGTCAGGTATGGGGTGCACACCTCCATCTTCTGGGAACCTCTGCAGTGTCTTGTCTTAACATTTAAGAGAAACGTTAAGAGCGCTGAAGGTATAGGAGATGGAGTTCAGGGGCAGAACCCTACCCTAGAATGCACAAGGCCCTGTTTGATCTCCGGTACTGAAAAAAAGGGAAGCATAACACATAAAGGCAACCTTTATTTTGACATCAGGTGACATAAAAGTATTTGGGCTGGGGATACAGCTCGGTTGGTAGACTGCTTGCCTACCATGCAGGAAACCCTAGATTCGAGCCTAGCACCACAGGAAAACCTGTGTGCCATAGCCTATGCCTATGTGCAAGCCACAGGATCGGAGTTCAAAGCAGCCTAGTCTATAAATCGAGTACCGAGACGACCAGGGCTACACAGACAGACCCAGCCTCAAAAATAACAAGCTAACAAAAATAGTTTAAGATCATAACTGCTAACTGCATATGCTTTTAATCCCAGCACTTTGGAGGCAGAGGCAGGAGGATCTCTGTGAGTTCAAGGCCTGCATTATCTACAAAGCAGGGATACACAGAAATCCTGTCTCAAAATCTGGCCCCCCAAAAGTTCAAGGTCATCTTAGTCACACAGCAAGTATTAGAGACCCTGTCTCGGGCTGCTATTGAGGACAAGAATTTGGGTCTCAACAACCTTCTCAGGTGGCTCCTGGGGATCGGCTGCCCTCTTCTGGTCGCCTTGGGCACAGCATGTAGGCAGTACATAGATGCAATCATTAAAATAAAAGAAAAAACAATCAGACCTTCTGCAGACACAATGTGGCTATCAAAGTCATCCCTAAGCAAGGACAGCCACAAAGAGCAACTTTACTGTGGGGATAAAAATCACCAAGGCTAGGGGCTGGAGAGATGGCTCAGAGGTTAAGAACACTGGCTGCTCTTCCAGAGGTCCTGAGTTCAGTTCCCAGCAACCACATGATGGCTCACAACCATCTGTAATGAGATCTGGTGCCCTCTTCTGGCCTGCAGGGATACATGCAGGCAGAGCATTGTATACATAATAAATAAATCTTTAAAAAAAAAACACCAAGGCTAAATAACTTTACAATGATGCATGAAGAGAAGCCTGTGACTACAACAATAAAGAATAATACTTCCTAAAAATAATTTAAAGTTTGATTATTTTGGCCATGATTATCAAATTCCCAGTTCAGCAATTAAGGGGAGAAAAAAAGATTTTTATCATCCATTTAAAAGAAAACAAAAAACAGCTGGGCGTCGGTGGCACACACATCTTTGATCCACGGGCAAGTGGATCTCTGTTGAGTTTGAGGCCAGCCTGGTCTTCAAAGAGAGTTCCAGGGCATCCAGGGCTATTACACAGAGAAACCCTGTCTGAAAAAAAAAACAAAACCAAAGCCAAAACATATAAAGGGAGGCAGGATGGAGAGCTGGAGAGACAGTTCCTGGGTAAAGGCACCCCCTGCAAGCTTGACCCCAGAGTCTGATCCCCGGGACACACAAAGGATGGAAAGACCTGAACTCTAGTTGTCCTTTGACCCCACACTCACACCCTGGCACATAGCTGGTAATTTCCTGGAGCAATAAAAGCACCAGGGAGACGAGCTGACAAGATGGCTGAGGGGTTAAGAGGATGCGCTGCTCTTTCAGGGACCCGAGTCAGCCCCCACAACCACCTGCAACTCCAGCTCCAAGGGACCTAATGCCTCAGGCCCCAATGGCCTGTATTCATGAATACGTACCCACACACAGACACACACAAATAAAAAAAAAAGTAATCCTTTTTTTTTTTTTTTTTTTGGTTTTTCGAGACAGGATTTCTCTGTGGCTTTGGAGGCTGTCCTGGAACTCACTTTGTAGACCAGGCTGGCCTCGAACTCACAGAGATCCGCCTGCCTCTGCCCCCCAAGTGCTGGGATTAAAGGCGTGCGCCACCAACGCCCGGCAAAAGTAATCCTTTTAAAAAATATCTGCACTTGGGAGGCAGGTGGAAGGTGGATTTCTGTGAGTTAGAGGCAATCCTCGAACTACAAATCCATTCCAGGACAGCCAGGACTGTCACACAGAGAAACCCTGGCAGGGGGTGGGGGGCGGATGGATTCTGTGGTCTGGATAGATGGCTTAGCAGTTAAGAGCCCTTGCTGCTCCTCCAGGGATTCAGAATTTGCTTCCCAGTGAGCAGGTCAGAAGGCTCCCAACCGTCTCTAACTCGAGGTCCAGGGAGTCAGACAGTCTCTTCTGTCGTCCTTGGGTAACCTCACACACACAGCACGCGCGCGCGCGCGCGCGCGCGCACACACACACACACACACACACACACGGCACACACACACACACACACACGGCACACAGACACATTCGTATACATAAAGTTGTGCCACCATAAACACCCCTGCCAATATAGGATGGCCTCAAACTTGCCCTGTAGCTCAAGAGGACCTTAAATACTTGATCTTCCTGCCTCCACCCTCCATGAGCTAAGATTACAGGTATGTACTACCATGCCTGGCTAATTGTTATTTTCAGTAAAAGGACTGTTATTACCCAGTGTATATTTAAAAGTTGAATATTAAACAGCTTTGTCATCTTCTTTTGTGTCTGTGCAGGTGCCTGTGGAGGCCAGAGGTTAACCCTGGGTGACATCCTGTTTGAGGTAGGGTCTCCCCCTGAGACCAATTCATCCCCAACTAAGCTAGTTGAGCTCCAGGGATGCTCCTGCCTCCTCCTCCCCAGTTCAGGGATTACAAGCTTGCTACCACACCTATGTGGTTACTGGGGAGCAAACTGAGTCCTACTATCTTGTGTTTCATTCCACATGTAGTTCGGAGTTGCCCGATTCCTTGATAAGGCTCTCTGAACAGAGAAGGTTCGCCTCGTCAGCCCTTGGGAAGCTTGGGTTACACAGCAAGTGCCAGGCCAGTCTGGGCTATTTGCCAATTCCTTGTCTCCAAACAAACTACCTCCCGGCACAATGGAGTGCACCTTTAACCCGAGCACTAGGAAGGCTGAAAGAGCTTGGTCTATGCAGTGAGCTCCAGGCTAGCCAAGGCTGAAGAGACCCTCAAAACCACACATTTCCCATGCAACAACTTCCAGATGAGCTGCGCAGCAGAGGATCCTCTTTTCGGAGGTCATTTGTTTCTACGGCAACCTGGTTCACAGGACACTTTTCCACAAGTCCCCATGCACTGAAGACCTTTCTAACTCAACAACCTGCTTTGATTTCTTCAACAGTGTTCAAACTGTTCATGCCAGCATCACCACTCAGTTTCAGTTTCAAAAGAATCTGGGGCTGGTCGGGCGTTGGTGGCGCACGCCTTTAATCCCAGCACTTTGGAGGCAGAGGCAGGTGGATCTCTGTGAGTTTGAGGTCAGCCTGGTCTACAGAGTGAGTTCCAGGACAACCTCCAAAGTAATACAGAGAAACCCTGTCTCGAAAAACAAAAACAAAAACAAAAAAAAGAAAAAGAAAAAGAATCTGGGGCTGCTGAGATGGCTCAGTGGGTAAAGGCACCCGCCTCCTACACACACACACACACACACACACACACACACACACACATATACACACACACACACAGACACACACACATACACACACATACATACACACAGACACACACACATACACACACAGACACACACATACACACACACAGACACACATACACACAGACACACATACACACACAGACACACACATACACACACAGACACACACATACACACACAGACACACACATACACACACAGACACACAGACACACACATACACACAGACACACACATACACACAGACACACACACATACACACAAATACACACACATACACACACACAGAGACACACACACACAGAGACACACACAGAGACACACACATACACACACATACACACACACACATACACAGACACACACAGACACACACACACAGACACACACAGATATCTAGTGTGTTTTTCACCAACTATCTTTTTAAATTTTTCTTTATGAAAATTATCTACTAGGAAATCAACACATTGCATGTTTAAGTATTACTGTGGGTGTGGCACAGCCACAGGACTTCACAGGGTTATTTATCTCTGCCCTTCACCTTAACCTGGGTTGCAAAGAGCAAACTCCGGTCTTCCAGCTCATGTAGCAAGCCCTTTACTCACGAAGCCCCCAGAGTCAGGATTTTAAAATGCAAACGACAGTAGTTGCAGCCTTACAACCACGCAAAGAGAGGGACTGTAAGGCAAACTGGTTTTCCAGGTCTCGGGTACCTTTAAGGCCGTGTTTCAGACAGTGCTCCATCACCACGAAGAACTGCTGCAAAGGCGGGTAATCCGAGTCCAGGGTGCGGCCGAAACTCAGGGCAGATTCAATGAGCCCCTTGATGCTCAGCTTAGCCATGTTTAACAAGTTGGCTCTCTCCACAGCCGTGGGGTCTTTTGTAGCTGAAAAACACAAGGAAAGTCGGACATCATTCCCAAGACAGGACAATGACAAGTTCGAAAATCTGTCCCTGCCTATAGAAGCCAACACAGTTTGCTTTTCTGTGGTTGGCTACAGGATATCTCCTCAGGCCTCTTTATTTCTGTCTCACAAGCCACAGCAAAACGCCATGCTCGCTGCAGCCAATGCTAATGATTATCCTCAAGACTCCACACAGGGAATGAGGGTTATTTTCTGGACTGGCCACCGCGCTCCTTCCACAACCCTCAAGGTTGTGCTCTGACTATCACTAACCAGTTGTAGCATTGTGCACACATTGCACAAGCTCTCTCTCACTCACTCACACACACACACACACACACACACACACACACACCATCGCCTAACAGCCCTGGCATGGTTGTGTCTACCTATTACACACACATACTAAAAAACAATTTTGTTTGTTCTTTTGAGACAGGGTCTTTTAGATCAGGCCTGGCCTCAAACTCAGAAATCCCCTGTTGTGTCTCCTGGGTGCTGGGATTAAAGGTATGCACAACCACTACCATCACCATCGGCACTTAAAAACATTTAAAAGTAAAATTACTTCCTGTGGAGATAAGCTTGGAACTATAAATCACATGTCTAAAAGCCTTACAAATGGTGGACAAAGGGTATGATTTCCAAGAATAAGAGGCTGAAGGGATGGCTCAGCTATTAAGAGCATTTGCTGTTTTCCCAAAGGACCAAAATTTGGTTTCCAGCATTCACTAGGATGGTTTACCTGTAACTTCAGCACCAGGAGGCCCAACATCCTAATTTTGGCCACACACACACACACACACACACACACACACACACACACATTTCATTTCAAAAAGTTCAAAATACACTGGCAACAAAATAAAAGGTCAAGTTATCAGATTCCAGAATCTCCCAGAACACACATCACAGGGGAAATTAATACTCTGACAAATGTAAAGTTAAAAAAGAGTTCAATCCCGGGTGGTACAGCCTGTCCCTTTAACCTCAGTAACTGGGAGGTAAATTCCTCGCCAGCCAGGGTTACATAGTCTCAAAAAACACAAAACACGACTTCCAAATCAAAAGGAAAGAAAATAAAGACAGAAAAGGAGATGAAATAAAAATTCTAACACAAGTTGGAAAGAGGGCTCAGGTTAAAACCATCTACTCCTCTTCCAGAGGACCAAGGTAATTCCCAGCACCTATGGCAGTCGCTGAGAGATCCAACACTCGGGCCTCTGGAGGCTCCCACACTCAGATACACACCGTTATAAATAAAATTGTTTTTAAAAATCAGCTTGTTTCCCCAATACTCCAAACGCTGCCAAAGGGCAGAAATATTTTCTGCAAAGATGACAAAAAGATGTGAAAAACAAAGCACTTAGCTAACATTTTGTAATCCCCATATAGTTCTGGGCTATAGGGAGGGAGGAAAGAAGTGTGTGTGTGATCTCTGAGTTCCAGGCCAGCCAATGCTATATAGTGAGACCTGTCTAAAAAACAAAACACCTTCAAATAAATGACAAATCAGGTAGTTAAGGCGTTCATTGGACCAGTTTGGGCTATTTAGTGGCACACTGTTTCAAAACGAAACAAAGCAGCTGTGCTGAATGCTAATTCCAGAACCAGGGAGGCAGAGGCAGGAGGATTTCTGTTCCTCCTGCTCTGTAGAGCGAGCTCCTAGACAGGACTACATAGAACAAAACACAAGTCCATTTTTCCGGTACTGAAAAAAAAATCCAGAGTCCCCAGTGCTCTGGTCCTCTATTAGGAGTTAGATTTCTGCTCTGTAGGCTGAATCCTGACTCCGAATCCTCGGCAATTTACAACTGGCAAGGCTGAGTGGTGAAAGGTCTGCACGCATCATTTCCTCCACTCTCCGCGGCGGCGGTGTGATTCCTTCCCTCTCCCCATTCCGCAACCCCACCCCTCGCCCCGGAGGAGAAACGACCTGACGTTTCATTATCGGCAGCATTCTCTTTTCACCCTGTTCATCACAACCTGTAGCCAGCACCGGACGAGCTTAGGAGGGCAGCTGTGCAGCAGCGGCCGCAGGTGGAGTCGGCAGCCGCGCTCCCCCGCAGTCCCTCGGCGTCCGCAGCCCGCACCGGTGCCCCCGCGGGGCGCGCTTCCGAGGCCTGGCACCGCACCGCACCGCTCCCCTCCCCAGCCTTCCGTCCGCCACCCGCGAGACTGGGAAGCCATCTCTTGTCCCCGGACGCCGCGGTCACCGCCCGTCCATTGGCCCCAGCAGCCAGGCCCCAGGGATGCGGGCGGGCGCGCGTTGCCGTGGCGACCCCGGGAGCCCCCTTGATCCCCCCGATGACTGCGCGGCCCCGGTGGTGGGTGGCGACCCCGACTGCTGCCCTTACCCATGGCGACGGTGCGTGTGGGGCACGGGCTCGCGGGGCGAGTCAGCAGCTCCCCGCAGGCGCGCGGCGGCCACCGCGCCTGACCCGGCTCGGAGCGGCCACAGCGCCCCTGGTGGCGGGAGGACGCCACGGTCGCGCCAAACCGGTCCCGGTGGATCATCTATCTCCCGAGCAACCCTGGCGACTCAGGGAAACGTGGCCGGGACCTGGTGGGGGCTCCGGCACTGCAGCACAGCGCCAAGGGTGGAGGTAGAAGAGGCCTCAAGCCACCTGCAAACGTTTTGTTCATGCAGGCTGGATGGGTCTAATTGAACGCACCGGGCCTCTTCCTTTGATTTTTATGACAAACCCAGAGTGAACCGACAGATTTAGAAAACCTCGCGCAAGTAAGAGCCGGCAGCTGACTGTAATCCCAGCATTTGGGAGATGGGAGTTAGAAAGATCCGTAGTCGGAGATTCAGGCTCGGGTACTCGGGTTTGAACTCCACTGAAATCCCGGTGCGGTGGTGCACACTGCTAATCCCAGCATTCAGAAGGGGAGGCAGGATTGCTGGGAACTCGAGGTTGCTCTGAGCTACATAGCAAGTGCCACCTAGAGAGATCCTGTCCCAAATAAAACATGTAATACTTTGTAGGAGGGTGTGGTGGACCTGTAAATACCAACCTCAGGAGATGGAAGCTAGCTGGCACGGTGTGTTTCTTGCTAAAATTCCTTTCCTGGGGGAGGGGTAAACAATGTCTACCTCCTAAAATCCCAAGGACAAACGGAAGTAATTAAGTAATTAAAACCGTTCACCCTGAAGTGTGAGTGGCTTGACACTACTGTATGGATGATGCATGTAGGGGAAAAGGGGCCAAACAAAGAAACACACCCTGAGCAGAGCCAAAGAAACACACCCTGAGCAGAGCCAAAGAAACACACTTTGGCCCTGCAACCAGAACCAAAGAAATGCACCCTGACCCTGAGACCAGTGCCAAAGAAACACACTTTGTCCCTGGAATGAGAACCATGAAAGAAATACATCCTGGCTCTAAAACTAGAGCCAAACGGACCATGAAAGAAACATACTTTGGCCCTGAAACCAGAACCAAATCTGACTCTAAACCTGTGCAGGGGATCTAGCCATCCTAAACTCAGGGATTGAAATTTGACCAATCCCCACCCTGGTAAACTCCGTCCCCTAAGAAGCCCTGCATAAACCCTGTGTCTGTTTAGCTTTTGTGGCTGTTCAGGCTGCCCAGCTGTCCTCTGCCACCCTGGCAAAAGGCAGCCACTCTCCTGGATTCTTCCCTCCCAATAAACCTCTTTGTGTGTGTTTCCAGACAGGGTTTCTCTGCATTGTTTTGGAGGCTGTCCTGGAACTTGCTTGGTAGACCAGGCTGACCTTGGATTCACAGAGATCCACCTGCCTCATCTCTAGAGTGCTGGAATTAAAGGTGTGCCACCATCGCCTGGCCAATAAATCTCTTGAATGAGGTTTGGGTGAGATCTTTCACCGGAGCAGAAACGACCCAGAAACAACCCTGGGTGGAGCACAGGTGTTAACACTTTTCACTGTGGAAACCTTCCCTGTCGAAGAGAAATTCTCCGCTCTCTGGGGGACTGGAGCCCAACTATAACAACTTTGCCAGGGAAACCCTCTCCTGCAGGAGCAGAGCTGATACACTGGGGAAGCCTTTCCCTGAAGCAAGGCTGTAAGCTGCTATGCTTACTGTGACCTGTGGTAGTCCTTGGCTCCTGAATGCCAGAATATCTTTCCATCCGAGCTGTAACACTCAGTATTCTTTGGCTCTTAAATGCCATAATCCATTCCTGTCCATCCCATTTGATCCATCCAAACGCTTATGGTGAACCCCTCCCCCCAATTAGCTGCAGAGATAAGTCGCTAGGACAGCCAGGAATATATAGAGAAATCCTGTCTAGAAAAAAAAAAAAGCAAAACCAAACACACGACTATCTGTGAAATCCACTGTTGTTCAGGAACATTGCTTTACTTCCCTCAGTTGTTTCTAACTTACCCAATACATAGAAATGAAAAGACCACTTCATCCTTTCCCATGGCAATAAGCAGGCTTTTTTGTTCTTGTTTTTTGTTTTTTGAGACAGGCTTTCTCTATCTAGTCCTGGCTGTCCTAATACTTACTCTGTAGACCAGGCTGGCCCATTACTCAGAGATCTGCTTGTCTCTGCCTCCCAAGTGCAGTGAGTACATTTTACAGATGCAAGACAGCTGTTAATACCTCACAGTCCACTGTCCTCTTCTTTTTTTAAAGATTTATTTATTTATTTTATGTATATGAGTACTCTATCTGCATATACAACTTTATGTGAGAAAGGGGCACCAGATCTCACTATAAATGGTTGTGAGCCACCATGTGGTTGCTGGGAATTGAACTCAGAACCTCTGGAAGAACAACCAGTGCTCTTAACCTCTGAGCCGTCTCTCCAGCCCCCACTGTCCTATTCTTATCTCACTGGCATGCCACTGGGATCTCCCAGGCATTCCAGAGCAAAGGGCCAAGGCCCTCAAGGGATGCCTGGCTCCATACTGTGTAGTCATTCTTACTCAAGTCTGAACACTAATGACTGGAATAGAGCAGTTCATTTCCGGGTAGGACATCAGGTTAAGGCTAGGATTTAAAGGTGTGTGCCACCACTGCCTGGCCAGGGTCACCTTACTTTACACATACTTGAATAAAGCCAACCTTTCTCTCTAAAATGTCTCAGAATTTACACTACTGGGTCTAGAGATGTGGCCCAGGGCTAAGTGCTGGATTTGGTTGATCGCACTGCAACAAACAAAACCAGCAACTAAACTTGACGTTGCTACTAGCTGTGTGTAATTTTGGCTGTTGTCTTGGAACGCTTGGAAGTGAGAATTTCCTCATTATGTTTTTGTCTTGTGGATATGTATGTGGTTGAACGTTGGGCTTATTGTGTGTATGGGATTATGGGGACCCCCTTTCTTCATGGTTGGGCCTATTTACAAATTCGAATTTTTGAAAAGACCTTGTTCAATTCTTTTATCTTTTCCTCACTAACTTAGATTTAATATTCTGTAGTAGTCTGGTGTCAGGTATGTGTTGCCATTGTCCTCTGGTTTGTCTTTAAAAAAAAAAGCATTACTACTTTTATTAATTTATTTGGGGGACCCAGGAGAGCAGAGGATAACCTTCCGGAGTTGGTTCGCTCCTGCCATGTACACTCCAGGAACCTAACTGGGTTACCAGACTTGACAGGCTTGCCTTAGCTTTCACTTTTTTCCTTTCTTATTGCATAGGTATTTTGCTGGCATGAATGTCTGAGCATCACATGTGTGCCTGGTGCCTGGCTAGGCCAGAAGAGGTCACTCGACCCATTCAGACTGGAGCACACCCACATACATGGCAGTTCACTGTCTGTAACTCCAGCCTCAGTGGATCCCATGACCTCTTCTGTCTCTGTCCCAGCACCACACACACACACACACACACACACACACACACACACACTCACACACACGTGGTACACGCACACAGGCAAAACACCCACGCACGTAACAATTTTTTTTTAAAGTTGAAATACAACTGACTTCTCTCCTCCTCCATAAAAGATGAATAAAAAGGATCTTTGGTGGAATGTAAAAATAATAAACTAATAATAATAAAATACAGTCTCTGTAGTCTAAGTCCTTCCAGAAAAGCAAGTAAGATTAAGTGCACATTTTATAGGAGCATGGCAGCACTTGCCTGTAATCCCAGCATTTGGGAGGCAGACATTTTTGCCAAGCGTGGGGCTAGTGTGGTCTGAAAATTAAGCTCAGGCCTAGCCGTGGCTACATAACAAGACCCTTCCTCAGTACATAAGTAAATAAATAATATAGAATATACTGGAGCCATAAAGCAGAACCTGGAAGACACAGGGTCACTAGAGATTGGGGACATAGTGCAACTGGCAGTTTATCTAATATTCATGAAACCCTGGGTTCAATCCCCAGCAGTGTATAAACTGTGTGTAGCGTATATTTGTAATGCCAGCTCTCAGGAGGCGAAAGTGGGTTAAGCTCATCCTTAGTTTGAGGCTAGACCCTGACTGGAAACAAAACAAACAACAAACCTTCTCCTGGAAACATGCCATTAAAGTGAAGGGAGAAGGGAAGCATCAGAGGCCAAAACTCTTAACCTGTCACCAACCCAGGCCCGCTTTATCCGACAGTCACCGAAACCATCAGTTTTGCAAGCGTCTCCACGGGGCAGGAGAGCAGGTTTGAAATCTGTGACGGAAAACTTTTAGGAAAAGCACAGCTGCCCACGTACTTCCCACTGAGGGGCAGGAAGAGAGGAGCAGCGGCCGCAAGGTCTAAGAACGACCAATCCAACCGGACTGGCACCATGTCCCACCCGTCAGCGTCTCCCGTGCCAGTCCCAGCCTCAAACTTGTGATCCTCCTGCCTCTGCCCTCCTGAGCGATGAGACTGACTAGACAGCGACTAGACAAGGCTATGTGGGCTATCTCTCAGGAAGAGCAGCTGCTGCAGATGACAGCTGGGCCAGAGGTGGAGTGAGGTGAAACTATCAAATCGGGGGTGGCGGGGTGTTTCCGGGTAGGTCCAGGATTGGGGCTGCTGGAAGGGCATTTTATCTTAAGAGTCTCCTGCTCAGCCTGGCGGTGGTGGCGCACGCCTTTAATCCCAGCACTCGGGAGGCAGAGGCAGGCAGATCTCTGTGAGTTCGAGGCCGGGCTGGACCGACAGCCTCCAAAACAATACAGAGAAACCCTGTCTCGAAAAACCAAAAAAAAAAAAAAAAAAAGAGTCCCATCCCCTGCTCTGATGCACACTACATTGTTTGGGTATAGAAGATCTAAAGCATAAAAACATCTACATAGAAAACATCTTAAGTCTTTCAAATAACTAAGTGACTGGAATTGGGACTGGAAAGGTGGGAAAGCCATACGCAGCTCTGCCTTTCCTCAAAGTCCTTCACCTGTTGGTCTTGCTTCCCAGAACCCATGTTGGGAGGCTCACAACTGACTGCAATTCCAGCTCCAGGGATCTGCTACACTCTTCTGGCCTCAGAAGGCAAATGTACATACGTACGTATGTACATACACACACGCACGCACGCACGCACGCACAAAGCCTTTAAAAATCTTTCTGTTCAGCCGGGAGTTGGTGGCTCACACCTTTAATCCCA